AACATAAAAACCTTCGATCAGARTCAAAAAACGTGGACATGGGTATGATATATACGATACGTATACAYATAGAACAGCAGCGAACGAAGTATGAATAAACTTAGGAATTWCAAAATGGTGGGATAGAATTTTATTTAATAATTACACGTAAAAACGATCAATCAATTAGAATTATTGTTAGGATAGTAAATATTAAAATATATAATATAATGTTTAGATTGTGTCAATGCAATTCAGCGGGGGTAGATCAATGCCTATATGCAAATCAGTGAAAGGTGGAAGGGGCAGTCGTAATATAGAAATGCGATTGACTATTGGCTCAACTGCATAATATTTACAAACAAATCAAACAATACAAACTATGGTAAATACAACGCAGATGATAATATTACTATACTCTGTCCAGCGAGAGAAGGCGCGGCGCACCGACCAAAATTGGTTCCCCACGCAACAACCTGCCGTAGTGGAACTGGTTTCAATAGGAGTGTGACACGGAGGGATACGCAGAATCGGCGCGTTCTCTCGCTGGACAGAGAGCTTATACAAATTCCGTCGAAGTGCATCGATATTTATGCGCACCTCTACAATAGTATAGAGTGCCGAGCATAACAATATAATAATGTATGGTAAAATCTGGTAAAATATCGACCTATAAAAATGTTATGTTTTGCGACTGTGGTTTCGCATCTATCTCGGATTAAGGTGCAGACACTACTTAAATGCTTTCCACTCTTCTGATATCAACAAATCGACGACATACTCACATACTGTGYGTAATTTCGTTAGACTATTTAGAGTGTAACGATTATGTAATCATTTTTTATTGGCAGGTATAGTCGTATAGATACTAGTAATAAAATTACAGTCAATGTATCGTTAGAAATAGGTACTTATACTGGTACCTCTCCTATATACGTGTAAGCTCGATAAACATAATTATTATAACAATCACGCTATATAGGTACTTCTAATTTTTATACGATATAATACTATGTTAATCCGTCGTGACGCATGTTGCGTTGATCGATCTTAACAACATAGGTGAATAATATTATATTGCGAAAATCAAATACAAATCATTACAAACGGTGCCGGTCGTCAGTTGTCTTTGTTTCGAGACCAGAACGCGTCTTATATCTATTCATAATACCTATCTACAATAACTTAGAAAAAAATGTTCCGAAAAAAAAAAAANTATTCATGGAAATACTGTCATCTAAACTGCAACACGCATTCATATACACGGACGCATCGGTCATGGTAAATCGTGTCGGAATGGCTATCATTTATGGGGATACACAAATGCAATGGAAACTATCAAACAAGTGCTCTATTTACACCGCCTAAGCACTAGCCATTCACAAAGCCATCGAATGTGCAACGCATAAAGTTGAAGCTGATCAGATCATTATTCTAAGTGACTCACTTTCTACTCTCACGAGTATCCAGAACCAATGGAAACCAACTGACATACCAAAAAAAATCCACAATGCACATTCCACCGCTACTCTTTCTKGTAAACAAATTTCCTACATGTGGATCCCCGGCCATTGTAATATCGAAGGCAATGAACTCGCTGACAAGGCCGCCAAACTCGCCCACCTAGCCAATAACTCTTTCACGTCCTTGGATTTTACATACCAAGACGTTAAGAGAATCATTGCTAAAGATGTGCATGGYCAATAGGAAAAAAAATGGGCAGAACAGACAACCAAATTACATRAAATCAAAAGAACCACATACCCTTGGCCGTTCCCTGCAAACATATCCAGGAAACACCAAACAGTTATTACTCGCCTCAGGATTGGACATACCCATATAACCCAYCAACACCTCATGAAGAGGGGAGAACCTCCTGATTGTACCAACTGTGGCTCCSCTCTTACCGTYAAACACCTCCTCACGGATTGCCGATGCTACGAAAAAGCAAGGAGAGATTTGAACCTTCCGGACCAGCTCTCCGAATTACTCAGTCCCGAGCAGAGCAATCTCACAACTACCCTGAAATTTCTCCGCATCACAGGACTTCTTAACAAAATTTAATACAATAAGTTAACGTAATGTTTCATTGTTTTCTCTCCTTTATATATTGTATCTCTACATAAAAATGTATTACTATGTTTAATTTTGTAAATATAATGTTCGTCCAATGGCCAAAGTAGCCGCGGACTTGATTCTATTAATAATAAAAATAAAAAAAAAACCTTTGACCCAAAAAATTTTGTTTGTGAGGTTCAATAAATGTTGACACCCCCCGATAAATCACCCAAAATACGCCACTGCAATAGGTACTTAATCCATTGATAAATTATTGAAAAATATGAATAAAATACAAGTATTTTTGGAATGATTATACGAATTTGTATCTTGGTGAATTGCAAATAAAATGCACAAAAACATGAAAATTATGTTTAAATAACTGATTGGCTATGGATATACCTAATATTCTTATAAATATAATATGTAATAAAATAATAAGAAACAAAAAATAATCAAATATATTTCCATATGTTATCAATAAATTATCATAACTGACTCGGATAATTGATTTTATGTAGGTACCTTTCAATATCCCTAAATTATATAACTACACATATGTATATAAAATTTAAATAGTAAAATATATGTAGAAGTATTACAAGTATCTGAATTCAAAAATACAAAATTGTTATGTTTTTAGAACAATAATATTATCAATAATAGGTACATTGATAACAATTATGATACTATATTTATTATAATAATTCAATGGGCTATATGTATAATATGATGTATATATCTTTAGGTTGAAGTGAA